GAATGCCTTGTGTGCCCACAACCTTGCGTTGTATGGGGGAAATGAAAGGGAAAGTGAGGGTTTATCCGTGTATCTATTGTTATGATGAGACTTTATTAACAGCTTTGGTTTAAATATCCTGCCTCTTTGTTTTCTAAGCACTCACACGCAGAACAATATGTTAGTGCAGTATAGTGAACAGTATAATATTGAGTGATGACAGAGCTCAAGAGTCTAACGCATGGTAATCTAGAAGTATACATGCATCTTGAAAGAGACAATGCGGAATAGTGCTACTGCTTGGAGCACGCCAGCAGAATACCAGAGAATTGATTGACAAAGAAAAGCATTTCTTTTGTTTATTTAGTTTATACTGCATATTGTGGAAGGATAATTTTACAGTGTTAGTGGAATAGAAATTGTTAGTCATGGAAACAAAACAACATTTTATGTACTCCCTCTGTATTTTTATTTCTTTGAAAATGAAGTTTAAATGTTGAAGAATAAAATCAGTGAAATGTGTGTTTGATGGCAGTTTGTACTGTAAACCAGTTTCATATATGGACCACAATATTTTGTAAAATGTATAGACATATTTTAGAGCAATGCCTCTTTTCAGCCATTCATCACCCCCCTGCCCCCTTCACATCAGTCACTTTGAACATCCCTGGGTATCTTTTACACATAGCGTACATGCATTTTTTCTTGGCTTAATATGTATCAGACCATTTTCTCTGTATATGTCTTAGGTGTTTTTTTTTTTTTTTAATTCCTAATGAACTTTCTTCATTAAGCTATCATTGTGCATGGGTGGACTTAGCAGAAATGGGGCCATTGTGGGGATGAATGACTCAGGCTTTTGAATGATGAGTCAATGGTCACATGAATAGATTCATATACTTTTGACATGCAATTCCAGGCTGCTGCTTCTCAGTTCACTAAGTTTTCCGTCATTTCCAGAATTAAGTATAGGGTAGTGTTGAAAAGTAATCTAAACCTCTGCCTGTGTGTGTGCATGTGTGGCTGGCCTTGGGCATCAAGGATAAGGGGGAACTATGTTGTATGTCCCCTCCCACGTTGTATGTTACACATCTGGTTAAGAATACACTCCTACAGGACATGTCAGGGTTGTTTTATACAAACTATTTTCTATAGAATATTTCAGTTCTATTAAATGGCTGCATTTATGCATACATTTGCATTCTATGCAGTAGAATGTTAGTTTCCTGAACCATACTGTATTTTTGTATATCAAAAGAATGTTAAAGAATCTTGGAGAAAGCAGCCACAAGATATTGGATTTCCCAGGGATAGAGCCAATACAACAATTTTAAGGGCAAGAAAGCAGTGGACATCTGTGGAATTTTCCATATTGTAAACAGGATGAAGTGAGCTTTTCCCAGTCTCTTGTTTTGACTCCACAAAGTTTCACAACATGCCTTCTGAGAGGTGTTTTTTGTTTGTTTGTTTTTTTAAACCTTTTAACCAGACCATTTGTGTGGGTGATTGGGTGATATGCTAAGGTTCAAAGTGATACATTTGAATGAGATCCCAAGCTTCTAGTATTAGACAAGGCATAGGTTAGTGCCATCAGTGAGATCTTCATGGGATAGCAGATCTCAAGAGAAGTCCTCTATAGAGTTCTTTGGCAATGATCTGGGCAGGCACTCACCTCAGTGGTATGGCCTTAGGATAGCGAATGGTGTAACTGACCACCACTGGGGTGAATTGGTGTCCCCTAAGAGTCCAATAACGTTTATCTCTATGTGCTCAAAGGGCACTAGGGGAATCCCGAAATTTCCTTTTGCTGCCACATGTTGGCATTCTGATCAGGAGGCGCAGAAACTGATTGTCTTGTGAACCCCAAGACAATAAGATTTGGCTTGTGCATGTTACTACGTGTTGTCTCTTTCTAGGTAGTCTGAACAAGACAGAGCATGAGCTATGGCAGGATCTCTGGTTGGATATCTGTTGGTGCTGAGAGCTGGTGGTATACTAGCTTGTCTGCAGTCTGACTCTACCTAACAGAGCAAATGCCTTTGTTTCAAAGTGGGGAAATTGCAAAATTTGGGACTTCCAGGTGATGGACCCATTATAGTTAGCTGTGGATAGACCTCTTTTTCATGTTGTTACTACATCAGATCATAAGATCCTGACGAGTTCTGAGGTGAGGTTTGGTAAAGATGTAACACCATGGCTAGTTTCAGCATTCTTGGGGGATTTCACAAACTGACCTGAAAATAAAACTGCGTACTTTCCTCTCTGACTTTTCTGGGATCAAGAATGGGTGTCGTAAATTTTGAGGGAGTCTTGTCAAGGGTAAAATTTTCAACCGTGCCTAAGTGACTTAGGTACTTAAGAGCCCCAAATCCACTAACTTACAATGAGACTTAGGCACTTTTGAAAATGTTACCTCAAATCTTCAATCACTATTTCCCAGCCTTGCTATCATCTGGTTCAGCCCCATCAGTGTTTGAAACCATCCTAACGATGATCCAAGGTACCTTGCTAGCAATCTCAATCCCAACCTTCACTGCTTTGATCAGGATGCTCGTAGAGATAAGACTACATGGACACAAGTGATCTGCACAGGATCTGTACCAGGTTGGTGTTTTGGGCACAGCCAGAGTCTAACTCAGACATGAGTTACTTCTGAGACTACCAAATCTTCACTGGGTCTACATAGACTTGATGTTATCCTTTTTTTTTCCCCCCTGCCCAACTGGTCAGCTCACAAAAGCCTCTGTCCACTATTCCATACAATCCCACAACTAAAACAGTTAGTCAAATGGATCTCTTTGGTCTCTGTAATCTGACAGTTACTTTTGTAATTGGCCAGTGGAAGGTTCCCTAGTAGGACTCTGAAATTGCTCTGAGTATCTGTCTGTTTTCACCTGTCTCCTCTGATAGCCTAATGGTTTTTTCCCCCATCATCTCTGATGGCTCATCATATTTGTAGGGGACTGGACCCTCCTTTCAGGATTGGTATCTGGGTTGAAGTGACTTGTAAGTTCAAGTCAAAGCATGTTGTTCATTGCCTGGAATGCTTCTGACACAGTGCCAGCTTATGCTGATGACCCAGTCTTGCACATTCCCTGGAAGGATGTACAGGTATTTTCCTAGAACAGTAGATTCCCTGAGCTATTCACAGTCCGGTGTCACAGGATAGACTTGTCCTTTAGGGGTTGGGTGATGGCTTGAGATCAGGACCTTGCGAGGAATAATTGTGACTGGAATTTGCATTGCCAACTTCAGCTACTTCATACTCCTTGGCAGATTTGTTGTTCAGGGCCTTGTAAACTGCTTTACGTCATCCTTCAAGAAGGGTGCAATTCAGGTAGGCTGTGTCTATCTGGCCCACTGGGATGCGATAATCACTCTTTCAAACATAATAAAGTAGGCCTCCAAATCAGATAGGGTGGTGCTGGTAGTTATAGACATGTCAGTGAGTTGGGGATCTTTTAAAGCAGTGGCTCCAGAAATTGCTGCTGAGTAGCTCTTTGGCTCTGTTGCCATTACATCATCCATTTCATGAGGTGGTCTTCATGTAGAGAGGTTGTCCATATTCTTACTTTCAGTACTAAGATGTGGTAGGACCAGTGTTAGAGTGTCTAGCAATAGATTTCACTGGCAATCCAGATTTAAAAAGAAACCTCAAAATACTGTCTGGGGCTTACGTTTTATTATTTCCAGGTTCTGATTTAACCATAATACAAAAATGATGAAAGTTTCTGGCTGCTTTCCTTTTATGTTGTCTATAAGGCATTCCAAACACAATAAACTCCAAACACACAGCAGAAAAATACAAACCAAATTAGGTATGTGTTTGTTTCTTCAGAACTCCCCATCTTGCCTCCTTATCAAAGCCAGGTAGCTAGCTTGTTTGCCTGCTCTTTGAGTAACCCAGCTCATCTTTAAGGTGCTGAGCCTGAAGGTCAGAGGCATTTAAATAAGTTCCGAGCTGGCAGTAACTCCCTGAGATCAGCCCGAACCTTTGGTTGGAATTAACTTCTGCCTGGCTTGGCAGGGTTTCTAGGGTACCGCTGTGGGGACTGAAAAATCTATAAATCCCATTACACCCCACATTGTAGGAACTTTTTGTAACTGAAGAGAGCTGGATGGGCTCCATTCAGCTCTGGAGCCAATTCATGTCCCCAATGGCAATGGTGGTTGCTGCAGAGCAGCTCAGCTGTGCTCCTGCTCCTCACCACTGAAGGAAGTGAGAGGCACTGCTTTTGCAGCCCTTTCTGCTCTTTCTATTAGAAGACATGAGAGACTGAGTCTGGAAAGTAAACTCACTCACTTGCATGGCTATGTGAAGCACTAACTGCGTATTTGTCAGCCCAGACTGAAAGCTCATTATTAATTAAAAACTGAATTCCTCCATATTTATCCAGTAAAATGAGTTTTAATAATGATGTGTTATAGCCAGAGTGCAATTAGTCTTCCCATTTATATCTGTCAGTCACTGACAGAACAGTTGATTTTTGTTGTTGCTTTTAAAAATGTAGATTTTTGCCCTGTGATTAATACTAATCAAGAAACTGATAATGTGGTGTTAGAACATCTAAACCAGTGTAATCAGTGACAAATTTTAATTGGTTTAGAATTTTCCAGAAACAGTGAAATACCATAAAGTTTGTCAGACAAAAGATGACCTAGTAAGGCTGCCTGAGAGAGATTTCATGGCAAATAAGCTGATTTTTTAACTTTGAAGTTATCCCGTGTCACAGAGTTTGCCTGTGCGTGCGCATGTGTTCGTATAAAAGAGCTGATGAGCCTCTGGCAGGGAAGTCCTGCAGGAGCTGCAGATGTGCTTAGTAGAAATGAAATCTCAGTTCAGCTCTGCAGCATGTGACTTCCTATTTCTGTAAACTATTTCCAAGGGACTTCCTCTGCTAAATCAGCTCAAGTCTTTCAGAGATTTAATCCAGAGCTGTAGTTTAGTCTGCTTTGTCCCATGTCAGAGTTTTCTCTGATTTGTTTTTAGAGATTTTTTTTTTCTCTTGTGCCATTTCCAGCCTGCAAGGATCTAGTGGCTACTGCCCGTGATCGGAAGCTGAATACATTTGTACAGATCTCAGTAGTACATCCAGCAGAACAGACTTTGACAAGATATTCAAGCACTGAAATTGTGGAGGTGAGCTTCCTTTTATTACATTACCATTCATTACTAAATTTCATATTATTTCCTTAGAAAGTAAATGAACAGCTGAAACAAGTTAGTGCATGGTCTTTAGTAGGCAAGCTATGCTGTAGCTATTAGCAAAGCATACCTGAGAATGTTCTGCAGTTCTTGGCATGTAACCAGGATAAACAGTCGGAAATGAACTTGCCTGTTCATGAAAGGTCTATTTTTCTAACAGGAGACATAAAGAATAGTCTGGCTCTTCAGACATAGCTTTAGAATGAGCTAGAGAATATTTACTCTCATTAAGAAACAAAGGTATGTAAAAATAAGCTAAAATATGAGTGCAAACATTTTAATCACAGAAGAAAGTACTACACATTATGTAATGTGTTATCTTTTCATTTTTGTTTTATTCTCCCCTCAATTGGAAACTTGACATTTTTGCAGGTTTTAAAAGTGTGTATTTGTTTTTTGATCGGAAAAGGAGAAGTATGTATAGATTTAATAATTTAATTTAATTTACGTTTTGTAGCAAAAGTTGCATGGTTGCTTTGCTAGCCCTTGTATTTTCCCCCTGAAATTTCATTTTCATAAACAGTAAAGTTTTTATTTACTATGATAATTACATAAGTGAAACTATGTAGCATAAACTTAACTTTTCATGTACAAAATATTGGAGAAGGTTATTAAAAGCAGGAAAGTGTTCCCCCAAATACAAATTCAAAATTACTTTAACAGATAAATATTTTGATAAATCTAAGTCATAGGAACGTTTCATAAGCACTTTGTGTGATCTTCTGATTCCAGCTGACTGCTAATTCAGTTGTCATGATTTGAACCGTCAGCCATCCTGAAACTGCATCACTCAAATAGCCTGCAACAGATCAGAATGGTTCAGTGCAGACTGTCTAGCTTGATGTACTGTTGTAGGTGGAATAAATGATTCAGACAGAAGTAGACTCATTTTCTATTATGAGTATGACCCAGATTCTGAACAGAGCTCTGAATTTGTCATGTTCACGCTCTGGGTGTCTGTGGTTAGGACACTTCCTTTTTAGTAGTTGGTGGATTTCGTTAAAAATGGAAGGTACACCAGACAAACGTTATGTGAGTTATGCTAAAAACTTCCTTTCAATTATTAGGAAATTTAAAGATATCTTTACAATAATTTTTAAAATACATTTAAAGTTTGTTTTAATAAAAAACTTTCTATATATGTTTATGCCAAAGAAATGACAACAAGGGCTTCATATGGTATGTTTCAAAGTTTTCATATCTTAGAACTTACTATAATTGCCAGTGTAGCGCTATTGAAATTGTTAGAGCTAATCAGAAAACTACCAGTTTTATGGATTCCATCACACACCACTGTTGTATTATTTTTTAAAAGAAGATAATGTAATATCCAAAGTCTGTAGCCTAAAAATAATGTTTAGGGGATTGCATATTTTGTACTAGATATTTTGAACTAGATATTTAGCAACAGAAGGTCTACTTATATAGGTATAGAGTTATTTTATAAGTGAGTCTGAGGTAAGTGTGGAGTTGAGCGTGCAAAAATCAATGCTTACATTTTTAACATTAGAAGGTAATCATTGGTTAAGAAATTGAGTTAATTGTCAGCATGATGCTTAAGCTGATCAATTTTTAAAAAATTGTGATGATATTATTGTGAGACCTTTCTTTTGGGTGATTTAATCAACCAACATCTTCAGTTGTTTGCACAAATTATGTCTATGTCCACAGTAGTAACTGTTAGCCTCAAGGAAACGCTTTTATAAAACGTCTTACTTTAAAAATGAATTGTTTATCACTGAACATTAATAAGAGTACTGATGTATGGTGACAGGGCCACTTGAGGGCATTTGTCATCATTTGCTAGACTCTTGCATATCTCAAAAGAACCTCTTTTCAGTATGATTAAGTTTTTATGCCATTAAGTTTTATGTTGCTGACTTTTGTAGCATTTGGCAGTTCAGGTTTCTCTTTACTGTAGCAGATATATTTCTTTAGAACTCCATAGTTTCTGCACACTCGTCTATAATTACATACTTCACAGTACACAGCTGCTACCTTACTGAATCTGAGCTGTTTACTTGTGTAATACAGGGAACAAGAGACCCACTGTTTTTGACTGGTGTGGCATTCCCACCGGAATATCCTATCTATGAGGAGACTAAAATAAAACTAACAGTCTATGATGTCAAAGATAAATCTCAGGACACGGTAAGTATCTAGCTCCTTTTCTTTCATAAATATTATTCAGACTTTTTCTAATAATATTTGCTTCCTCTCTCTCTCCCCCCCCTTTTAGTAACTTTGGAAACTGAAGACTATATATAGTGATTACTCAGAGTTGCTTTTGCTTTATTTCTAAAAATATACTTAAATATTTTTCATGATGGTTAGAAAAGTGGAGAGAAATTATTGACAGGAATGTTCCTCTTCTCCCCCCCCCCCTTCAGATGGACCATGTACTGTTATTTAACTTGTTCTATAAAATTGTGTAGGTATTTCTGGGGAAGAAAATGTTACTATTATGTGCCTTTTTTATTGCTGGCAGAGAACATATGGAATAGGTTGAGATAAGACTGTAAATAATCTTTCCAGAAATATGTTACTGATCATGTAATACGAGTCATGTAAAACAATATTAAAGCCTGTTATTTGAGATTTAAGAAAGGTAATGGTTAATTGCATTTTGATTAAATGTTTTGCATATTGATATCTGTATCTCCCTCAGCACTACCGTTGTGATCAATAGTGAAGGGTACAAGACATACTGTATGACACAGGAAAATCTAAATTTAAACCCTATAGGACCAGATTGAGAAGCTCTAATGCAGTGAGTAGTTACTTGCAGGAATAGACTATTGAAATCAGTGGAACTGCTTATGTGAGTAATTAATCACTAATATGAGTAAGGGTTGTACAAGCTGATGTATAGTAACAACAGTACCCAAGCTCATTATCTAGAGTCTTCAGATAGAAAATAAAAATACAACTTAACTATATCCTGATGGTGCCACAGGAGTTACTCACATGAATGAAGTACTCATTTGCATAGGTGTTTCCTTAAAAAGAAAGGGAGTGATGTTTGTTGTTTGTATATATGTAAATTCAGTTAGGCCAGTGGAGAGCCAACAATGTATCTGGGAAGAGTTTTGGCCCCTAGAGATCTGTTTTCTTTTGAATGTGGGATGTATTTTAAGAATGGTGTTTGGAATTTTTTGTGTCTGTATAGATTTCCTGGATCAAGGTTCAGGGATAACAGGGTTCAAAAAAGAACTAGATAAGTGTATGAAGCATAGGTCCATCAATGGCTATTAGCCAGGATGGGCAGGGATGGTGTCCCTAGCCTCTGTTTGCCAGAAGCTTGGAATGGACAACAGGGGATGGATCACTTGATTATTACCTGTTCTATTCACTCCTTCTGAAGCACCTGGCATTGGCCCCTGTTGGAAGACAGGATACTGGGCTATATGGACCTTTGGTCTGTCCCAGTGTGGCCGTTCTTGTGTTCTAAAGTTATTTCTAATATATTAAAGATATTCAACTAATATAATGATTGATAAAATTGAAGTATTAATTTAACATAAAAACAGTTACAGGGTTTTTTTTTTACAGATTGGGCACAGAAATCTGGGCTTGTGATACAAGTTATGTTAAAAAAAAAATAGCTTGAGCTCCGGCTCCTCTTTCATTGCAGATTAAGCACTGCATAAAGGGGAATAAATGGTGTTCCTGCTCTTTCCCAATCATCCTCTCTGAAGACGTGGGTGAGAAGTGGACAGGGAGGGATGCGGATTGGGTGGTAAAGCCTTGACTATGCCTCCTCATCATCAGCGCACTAGACAGAGCGGCTGAGTCAATATGGTGGGTAGTAGTAATCTGCTGCTGGTATGGGCAGTATGATATGAGCAAGGGGATAGCCCTAAGGCACGGTGCTTTCCCTGCACTGCTCCTTGAGTGACACACCTATATGCTACCCCTTATGCAGGGCAGAGTGCACAATCTAGCCCGTATAATTAACATCACTTGATAACTTGTCCATATTTTTTGAAATGAGGCCATAGAATTCAGTACTTCTCTGTGCTGTGGAATTCTGCAGGATAGTTCAGAGAAATTCTTTCTCTTTCTTAAATTCCATAGACCATATGACATTCCTGTAGAACCACATTTCATTCCTACTAAATTGCTATTTTAAAAACTTTATATGTTACGAATATTTGTAGCAGTTGTAATGTACATTATTACAACTGGGGTTCAACATTACAAAAATTAAGTAAGTTGTGAGATGTATCATATCTGAATCCTCACATGTGGATCACCCACAATGTATCTTAAGGTCCCAGAATGACTGGAAACATACATACATGCTGGTAAATAAGCTAGAAAAAAAATTAGTGATTTGTCTGTACTGGCACAAAGCAGAGGTGATCATGTTTGCATCCATCAATGAACAAAGTTGATTTGGAAGAACAAAAACCAAAGCTGCTATCCTCCACCATCTTAGTTATTTTTTTATTGTTTCTCCTTTACTTCAGTTGAGGCTGAAATAGTTAAAATAAGATAAATTTGGCATGTATTAAAGTTTGTTGAGTGTTGGGATTTAACTGTCAGAGCTAAATGTATGGAAGAATTTTCATTTATTTTGCCCAACCCCCCATTCTATCAATGGATGTTGGCTCTCATTTTCGAACCTACTGGGTTCCTAGCATAATTCAAAAACTGTTGGTCAAATTTTGTTCACATAAGTAGTCACGCTGAAGACAGAGGGTACACCCATAGTGAGAATATCAGAATGTTTTGGCCCTAGGAGGGTGCTGTTATAGTTGCCCTTTTTGAACAGTTGACGCAAAAAGATCTGAGATTATCCCTGCAAAGTCTGTATTCCTGAATCAGAAAGCAGACAGTTAACTTCTCTCTGGCCTGCCATTTAACTTGCATATATATAACAAGTGCAATTTAATTATATTTAAGTACTGTGCAGCTGGTACCACATTTATTGTACTTGACGCGCTGGGTGTTCTAGCCACACTTTTTCACATTTTTTTTGTGCATCTGTCTATTACGTTGGCCACAATTGCATCTTGGCTGTGTGACATTTTCTATAATCATAACTTTTTAATATAATGAAACAGAACATTTATTATTTAAAAGGTGTAGGTTAGGAAGAATGTTTTGTTAATGAAGGTTTTCATACAAATGGAAATCTCAATAAAAATAAGGCTATTTCTACTTTACTTTGAAGATGTAGCTGGAATAAAGAAGTTAATTCAATGAGTTCAGGTTAACTCTGAAATTCAAAAGCTGTAATTTTAAATTTAACAAGTGAAGCCATGCATACAAGGCACTGGCTGCTGCCACATTCTGAAAAATGTACAGTGACATATGTTTCCACATCACAAAGATTTTCTTTCCATATTGCCATAAGCCAGTTTATTTATGTTTCACTGACTTAAGTCAGACTGCCTTTAAGATTTGATCGTTGAGTTTTGTCTTAATGTTTGGGTTCCAGCTGTTCTATAGATCATAGTACTAGAAAGGCATAATATGCAGCGTGTTAAATACTGGGATTTCCCTTTTAATATAGGCACACAATTCTTAACTTCAGCAAAGGTTTTTAAATGGATTTCAGGATAGCATGCCCATGTTTGCACAAGTTGGTCCAGCAAATTTTAATGCTGAAAGGGATTCCTTCTTTTCAGAAATACTATATAGCGCTAGTCAGATAATACTATCATATGCACAGCAGAGCTGCAGAAAATAGAAGGTGTGAAACAGATTAATGTAAATTACAGCTGGGAAGAGAGCATGTCTAGTTATTAGACTAAGAGTCAGGACTCCTACTCGTATCAAAATTAAAAATACTGTATTGATTCTGTAGTTACTGTCCCAAACACTACAGCTTACTACAGTGTGAGTGCACTGTTTTAGGCAATTATTGTAAAATACTGTATATAGTTTTTATAAGGGGGTTCTTCTGTTCCTAGCTCTGCTGCTGGCTTGCTTCACTGGTGTGATTTCATTTCCTCAAACTTTCCATCTGTGCAATGGGTGAAATCACATCTACTTACCTTGTTTTTAAAATTCTACAAGAGACTTGGAAGGAAAGTGTTATGGAGAATAAGTATGACATGTTATGGGGCCAGGCGATATCCTCCTGACCTGCATGGGGAGGGACCTTCAACACATGGATCTGAACTTCTCCCCATGAATGGGAGGCTAAGGAGCTTCTTCAGCATGGTGCTCCAGTCTCCGGCCTCTGCAGAGGTCTGTGTGCAGGAGGAGATAGAGAGAAGGAGGTCTGAGGCCGGAAGGGATGCCTCTCATCCCACCTCTGGTACTGCAGAAGTTACCTGGAAAAAGTAATACAAAGTCAAGGAACTTGGGGACTGCAATTCAACAGGTAGACCCTGACAGCATGTCTGAACTGGAGCCATACTTCTGGGGGCTCATTGGAAGCCAGTGTACACATGTATACTAGGCTTGGCCTTCTCGGGATCCAAAGGATCTACCCGCAATGGAGGAGATCCAATGGTGTTTACTCTGATCATTCAACAGGATGCTCTGGGAATCTCTGCAAGGAATTTTTGTGGAGAGTTCCAGGCCCAGAGAACGGGAGGAACAGAATATTCTAGCCCACAGTTGTCAATATTTATGTAGCCTTGTTTCCAAGTCCCATATACATTTATTTATAAAATGTATATGTGGTGAGGTCACCCTCTTCTCATTTTTAAAAAAACATTTGGAAGTATAAAATCGATGTAAAACTTAAAAGGAGGAACTTTATGTATTCTGGGATTAAATCTAAATGAACCTATGATTTTTGTGCAGAAATTAAATGCTGGCATGCTGAAATAACCCTTTTTGGATAGACTCAACAACTGGAATTAATGAGGGGCTTGTAAAATACAAACAGCCATCCTAAGGTTGCATTCCTAGAGCAATAAGAAACAGGAGGCATACAAGGCAAATAGGACATAGCACATTCCACCTGCCTTTGGTTTCTCATTTCTTTTATCTCAACATCTCTATTTATTATTAACAGCAACAAATAAAAATAAATCAAATTGTTAAACAACTTAAATGGAAACTGGGAAAAATATGTTTCTGATTGTAATACATGTTTTAAAAGGGCAGTATCAGCTTTTTTATTTTCTTGCCATTGCAAATATCCCTTTTAATAATGAATGGCATTGGGGTAATTGGAAATGAAGAAC